CTTAGTTACTTGGATAAAAATAGATTTGGGGAGACTGAACTTGGTATAGGCCAAGATCCACATTAAACTCTTGGTATAAACAGAAGGATTGTTGCCATAAATTCTGAATTTGAAAAAGGGCTAATTTGAAGTTTGCCACTGATATTTATAAATACTTTGGTAGTAAATTAATAACACTCTAACAACACTCTAAAAGAAATGTTCCAACTACTGACCAAGAACACTAATAATAAAAGCTTTGTTAGCACTTTCAAAATTTATGTAATTAGGGCTAATAAGATAAAACTAATTAGAAATAATCATTTCAAGTATTCTTATTTATTTATTTAAATGGACATAATAAAAGATCTGACTCCAACCTCCTGGACCAGACCAGAAGGACAGGAATCCCAAGCCTTACATAAAGAGTCATAAATGACTCACTATTCTCTTATTTATGACCACTAATTTTACTATATTTACTTATCATTGACCTCAACCTTGTTTTAGCAGCAAAGTTTTATTTTCAAATAGTTACCAATGAATCACTGATACTGATACCTGAACAACAAATATGTCCACTAACTATTAAATTGTTAATTTGGTGCAGTTGGAAGCAACAAAATGACATGGTAAAATATACTGTAATTCAAATATTCATTCTTTTTAATTATTGCCTATCCTTTTGTTAATATCAGTCTAAGGACAAAATAACTTAGTTAGCCAGCTTTAATTTTAAAAGTTAATAATCAAAAAAACCTTTCTTTCATTTGTAATATTTTGACCTAGAAGAAAACCATGGCTCCCAAATTTTGAAATACTATCTGTGTTTACTAAGGTCGTCCACGTTTTCCTTCAAATTCAATCCATATTTGCAGTGAAGAGGATCCAATTCAGAAAGAAGAGTGGGATTTCAGTCAGAGCAGAAGAAAACACCTGCCATTAATCCCAAGAGCACAAGTGGGGTCTGGAGTGTCCGAAGCAGCCGCCACAGCTGTGAATGGAGGTTGACCTCTGCTTCAGTTCTGTCTTGAGCTGGCAGGTGCCAGGACGCCATTCTGTCTGCTCAGAAACATCCCCTTTTGAAGCAGCAGTATTTTATTGCTCAATTGTGAATGCAAATTTTTATGTGTTCATGAATTAAGGATCCTTGCTTATGGCAAGCTGTCTAAAGAGGTCTAGTTTTCATATGTGGCTTTGGCATTAGTCATTGGACTTTGGGGAAAAAAGTCATCTCTGCTCCCCACTGTAAAATTGTTTTAGAAAAGCTTTGACCTCAAACATGCCATATAACCTAATAAAGTGCCTTTAGAGGACTGGTACAATGAGAGGCTTGGCCTCTGAAATCTCACCAGCAAAAGCAAACTAAACTTCAAAGAGAAGAAGCTTTTGGGTGGAAAGGAGTGGGAGCAGGGGAGGGGTTCCATAGTAACTATAAGTAACTGTATAGTAGCTGGATTTTCTAGGGGAGTTTTTCTTAATGCTGGTATCGGGAAGCGTTTAACTGTGGCACTAGACTATTAAGTTTTTCCAAAACAGACCATTCAGGTTTTCTAAATCAGCTTCCCCCACCATATCTTCCATCAGTGCCTGGAACATTGCCAAACTCTTTATAGGCATTTGTATATAAATGTATATAAAAATCAAAATAGATTTGACATACTATTTCAATCAAGACTAGAATCCCCATTGTATTTCTTAGACTGGGTGGTAGGTATCCTCTCACCCTTTTTTGGGGCTTCCTTTGCCCCGCCAAAAATAAAACCCTACTTGTAGAGCATTAGAGAACATTTCATATGTGTCAAAAATAACCAAACAAATTCTTTAAACGTAATTTTACGGAGGTAGACACACAGTCTATACCCATTACTCACTACTGAGTCACCGAAAACATTAATAAAACATTAAAATTTTACTGAAAACAAAGAAAAATAATTTCCTTGGTTTCTCTTTTTTTTTTAATGGCGAAATTATTTTTGGAACAAGAGAAACAAGGATTTGTTTAGTTGATTCCCTTATCTTAGCTCTCTCTCTCTCTCTCTCTCTCTCTCTCTCTCACTGACCCTCCACAATTACTCTTTTTCTCATCTTGAACTTGAGATCTTGGGGTCACTACCCAGGATACTGGGAAATGTAATTGGCAGCATTTCAGAAGTCATCTGTTGAAGGCAGGCACATAGTCATCATTCTTTATGAGAATCTAGTTCTAGAGCTGTGTCCCGACACTTATCATCCTAACCTAGTCACACGGACTAGGTTAAAGTCCTGGCTAACTCACTTGCAAGAGACCTAATCTTGATAATCTTTGAGTTTCATTTTTGGCATCTGTAAAAGTAATATCATAATACTCTCTTCATTGGATTGGGACCAGATGAAAGTTCTTTGTTGATGGTAAAATATATAAACTACAAGACATGATATTATTGTTATTATTAAGTTCATGATAACCTCACAGCTGTTACCAGAGGTGTCACAACTGAGAGTAGGAATTTAGTACAGTTCCTCTGCCGCAGATATTTAGCAGGAGATATTTTAGTAGACAGAGTATTCCCACATTTCCACCTGAAGTGACATTGCAAGGACTTAGGAAGGAGTACTTTGCTAGAACCTTGGCTGTGCTTCTAGTCTAGACTTACACTTGTCTCCCAGCCCTGCCAAAGGTGAAAGTGAGAGATTGAAGGTAACTCTGAAATGCTCCAATTCCTCAAGTAGGCTGAACCCTGGAACATGATTTCTTCTTTAAGAGCTAGGGGAAAAAAGTATTGATGTCTCTAGAATTAGTATGTCTTGCTGCCATTTCTGTTCAAAGATAAAGAAAATCTCAATGTGGCTTAAGAACAGACAGCGGCCCAACAAAGTAGAAAATCCTAAAAAAAGCCACATCTATATGGTTATCTGATTTATGACAAAGATAACACTGTACTACAATGAGAAAAAGGTTCATTTTCAATAAATGGTGTTGGGTTAATTTGATATTCACATAGGAGAAAAAGAGCATCTTGACTTTGACCTCACATCATGTACAAAATCAGTTCCCCATGAATTTAGATCTGAGTATGAAAATAAAGAAATAAAGCCTCTATTTTTTTATTTTATTTTTTTTGTTGTTGTTTTCTTCTTTCAGTTTGGGCACCATGCCATCCCAAACAGTATAAGTTTAACATACAGTGTTATATTTATTTTAGGCGTACAATATAGTGAGTCAACAATTCAATACATTACTCAGTATTCATCATGATAAATGTACTCTTAATCCCCTTCATCTATTTCACCCATCCCCTCACCAACCTCCCCTCTGGCAACCACCAGTTTGTTCTCTATAGTTAAAAGTCGGCTTTTTTGGTCTCCTTTTTTCTTTGTTTTGTTTCTTAAATATCACATAGGAGTGAAATCATATGGTATTTGTCTTTCTCTGTCTGACATATTTTACTTAGCATCATACCCTCTATTACATCTCTTTCTTATTTATCTTAATTTTTAAAAAAATTAATTCTAGTATAGTTAACATACAGTGTTATAGTAGTTTCAATAAGGCTTTTAGCTTTTAGAATAAACATAGAAGAACCTCTTTATGACCTTGGAGTAAGCAAAGGTTCCTTAAGTGGAATGCAAAAAGAGATAAAGAAAAAAAACTGTTAAATGGAGTTTTATTAAAATTAAAAACTTCTGTTCATCGAAACCTAGTTAAGAGAATATAAACACAGAACACAGAGTGGGAGATTATATTTGCAAAAAATAACTGATAGAAAACTCATATTCAGAATAATGTAAAGTACTCTCACACCTCTCTCTCGATATATATAGATATTATAATATGTAAAGAACTCTAGTAAGTCTAAAGGACAACTCAATAGAAAAAGGGCAAGAGACGTGAATAAACACTTTGTGGGTGAAGTTGCAAAATGGACAACACATGCATTAAAAGGAGTTAAGCTAATTAATCACTGAAAAAATACAAATTAAAACAGTGTGAAACTACTACACCTCCCACCAGAATGTCTAAAACAAAAAAAGATGGAAAATGCTGAGTATTGGTGATGATATAGGGGAACTGAAATTCTTGTATACTGATGATGGGAGTGTAAATTGTTAGAACCACACTGAAAAACTATTTGTCAGTACCTACTAAAATTGAACATATTAGGTATTTTGTATAACCCAATAATTCCACTCCTAGATTTACACCCAACAGAAATGCATACAGTTTTTAATCAAAAGACATAAAGTTAGGATATTTGTAGTAGCACTATTTTCAGTAGTCAAGACATAGAAACGCCTGGAAACAAAGGGCCATCAACCAAGTAGGATCAACAAATTGTGGTATATTCACATGGTGGAATATTATAAAGCAGTAAGAACAAACGATCTACAGCACACAACAAAATTATGAATACATTTTACACATTGAGCAAAGGAGGTCAGACTCATACAGGTATCATTCCATTTCTGTAACTACAAAAACAGACAAACTATTTTGTCAGAGGTCAGAAATAGTAGTCACTGTTGGTTGAGAGTAATGACAAGAAAATGTCACCACAGTCCTTCTGGGTTTCCTTAGCTGATTTCTACTTGCATAGGTACATTTAGCTTGTAAAAATTTATCCAGCATATTATATACTTATGACATGTGGACTTTGTGCTCTTTTCTCTGTGTGTGCGTGTGTGTGTGTGCGTGTGTGTGTGTGTAGTATAGCAGTATATATATACTATATACTATGGTATAGTACCATATTTTACTGGTATATGTACCAGTATGGTATAGTACCATGCATACTGGTATACGATATATACCATACTATATATACCATTATACTATATATAATAGTATATGTATTATACCACTTTCACATTCTAACCATCTTACAATTATAATTTAGAACCTAAAATTCCTTGATAAACCTCATTAACAGGTATACCTTTTTGCCCTTTGCATGAATCTTGCAGCTAACTAGCTGATCTATTCAAGCTACAATTTTTTAAATTTATTAAAACATTTCTTTCTTTCTTTTTCTTTTTTTTAGGGCCCTCCTGGTCCAAAAGGTGATAAGGTAAGAAAATGTGTAGCAGAAACTAATTAAGTTAGTGGAAATCCATTGGTATGATCTATGCTGTGTTATATTTTGGTCTTTTTAATGAGCATCAAATACAGCCTTTACGCTAAAACTATCATCTCATCTTCCTACTCTACAGGGAGAACAAGGTGATCAGGGACCTCGGGTAAGTTGTATTCTTCCAATCCTGGGCAGAAAATTGGTTTTCAGCTCCAAACTTATTGAATTAAAGTAGCCCTGGCTTTATAACATGCCTTTGTGTCATGGTTTAGTAATAGCTGGCAAAAAATACCATACCACTTGTAAGTGAAATAGCCTTAATAATAATTAATGGGTATATCCTGTAGCATTGCTTTAAGTTGATACCTATAAGTAGGACACTGTAAAATAATTAGCCCTACTGATGAAGGGCCAGATCACTACTAAAAAGTCAATAACAACCACCATTCCGATGGCTATTGGGTCCTTCAGATTTGCATGCATTGTTTTGCATGCATTGTTTTGGATTCCTGTTGAATTTGGCCTTTTTCTGCAGTTAAACTTTATGTGCTATTGCATAAATATGTTATATTATAGATGAAAATATTAATGCATTTTATATTTGTATTCTTCATCATAAATTTGAATAACACTTATTTGAATTTCTTATTTTTTATAGATTTTTAAGCAGATAAAAGGTGTAATATAACCTAGCGTTCCAAGGAGGAGGGGCATTCTTTTACTCTTCTCAAATGTGGCTCTTTTAACCATTATAACACAATGGTGAATGCTTTGTTGTTACCTTGGTAGTGCCAAGTCCTCTGCTTAACATCTGTGCCTTGTTACCCAAATGTTCAGACATACTGTTCCAATGATGTAGTGGCTCCGTTCAGACATACCTCTCAATTTTCTCATGTCACTATGCACAAAAGCAAGTATTTGGTTGAGGAGTCATTTTTTACAGTGGAAAAGCACGTTTAAAACTTTCAGGTTGAAAACAGAAACTGTAGGTTTTTTGTAAAATGTGCTGTGTGTAGTTAATTATTGAATTCATTTATACTGCAGTAGAGGTTTTATTGCAAAAGATGTAGTTGATGCAAACCTGAAAAATTTGTAGTCTTATCTCTTCATGTTTATTAAACTAGATAGAAGGTAGGCTATGATTTGTTTTCCTTTCCATTCTTCAGCCATTTCTTTATATAAAAATAATGACCATGCCTCAGAGCATTTTGTTTCTCATGGCAATTATTCTAGCCGATGACTAGCTTCAAGCTAAAAGCTCATGTTAATGGTCAAGGAGATTAAACATCATGATATCTGTCATGGATGTGAATGGAATAAAATTCTCATAACCTTAAATGATTAGAGTATAGCCACTTGCTCTGTATGTGATGATTATTCACGTGGCATGTCTCGTATCGAGTATCATTTATTTCTACACGACATATCAAAATCACTCAACTTGCCCTTTCCAGGTAAGGGGGAAACTGTTTCCATTCTGAGAAATCTTCTTTTGGCAAAGGAAGTGAAGGGGTGGTTCGCAGCTCAGCTGTCATCAGTATGCACGCAGTCCTCATTTTCAAAAAGGTGTGTTGGCTTTCATCGTTCCCAAAAGTGATGACTGATTATAAAGCCAGGCCAAATTTTCAGGATGAAACCTGAAACCATGTGAAATTCACCTGGTTTCATGTTGCATTACAAACTAAGACTTGGACCAGGTTCCTTGTGAGTTTGGCCAAAGTTCATGAACTACTTTGACGAACCCAGACTGCCTTTCATACAGATTTCAGCCAGTTTTCACACTGACTGAGGCCAGGTTTCACATGATTCAGGGCCCATTTAGCATTTCAGGTGGAAAGTGGCAAAAATTGATCCCATTTTCCCCAGGATTTTGTTTTTTGTTGAAGGAATTTGGATTGATTTTATCATGCAGGGTGAATCTTCATAGGTGAAAAACTAACATGTCCTGGAAAGTATATGTGAAAAAGAATGAGAACCTACCAAATTGCCTGTCTTTTCTCAGATTCCTAATTTAGAAACAAGGCAGGTTACATGTAGCGCTCTCCGAAAAATAAAACTTACTTTCTGGTAAGAAAGTATTAGCTACTTATTAGGAAATTTATCATGTCAAGATAGTAAAATGAAGGGTTTATATTTCCAGAGAAATCAAAGTTAGAACTGGAAAAGTCTTCAATTTTAATGAGAATTCACTTTACTCACATGCTCTGTAGGCACACTATTCTAGTTAATGCTCATGGAGCAAAGATCTCTTTTCTAAAATGTAAATCTTTGTGTTTGAATACCCTGCCCATTTTTATCCTATCATAGTTTTTGAATTCAACTTTTTACCATTTGTTTCAAGTAACTATTTCTTTCCATAATTAACAATATGACCCTCCATCATTTCAGTTCTTTGTTAGCTTACCTACTGTTACAAGATTTCTACTGTTTCCTTAAGTACGGGCTCCCCCCCCTTTTTTCTTTTTGGCTTCCCAAGTGTCAAACAGGAATATATTAAGCCATATTATGTGATTCAAAGCAAGAAAGTGTTGAAGATAATATATACACTAAGAAGGTGAAACTATTTTGAAACACTTATACATATATTTAGCAATATACATTGAACTTCTGTTATTTTCAAGATGCCATGCTTAATACTATAGGAACTATAAATGGATCCACTTTCTCTCTCTTTTAGTACCACCAAATTCAACCTACTATCATCTCATCTTCTTGACTACTGTGGCAGGCTTCCAAGTAATCTTGCTTCTACTCTTGACCCTGTATAATCCATTTTTTACACAGCAGCCAAAGAGATCATTTTATGTTGTAAATTAGATCATATTGTTCCCTGTTTTAAACCTTTAAGATGAAATCCAAACCACTTTTCTTGACCTTCATGAATCTTCAAGATCTGACCCTTGCCTAACTCTCTAACCTCATCTCACACTGCTCTTCTCTTCCCGCCACCATGCTCCAGCCACATAGTCCTCTATGTGTACTTCAGACACATCACATTGGAATGACTTTCTATTTGCTGTATTCTGGTCTTCTGGTGATTGGGTTCCTCTTATGACTGAGATTTCATCTCAAATACCTCCTTGGGGAGAACTTCCCCGACTACCCAATCTAAATATGAGATTATCCTATTTTGTGTATTTATTTACTTGCTTGTTATCTGTAAAACATGCCCCACCATTTACATAAACTCTATGAGAGCAAGGGCTTGGTCTACCTTGTTCATACCACCATCAGCTAGAACAATAAAGACTCAATAAATATTTGTTGAATGTTAAAATAAAATATTATTACATCATTACTGTCCTCAAATTGTTGATAATCTCATGGGTGCCTGAATAAGAAAATTATGTCTTTGTGTTATATGCCTTAAATAACAATACCAAGAAATGCTAGACAAGTGAACATTCTTCCATTTTAAATAATCATTGGACACTATGGAAGTGGTGACACTTGAGCTAGGACTTGATAAATGGAGAATCTTTAGAAGAGAAGAAGAAGAGGAAGACATTACACATTCCAGAAAGAAGAAATAGTACAAACAGTATTACACAAGTAGGAAATGACAGGATTCATTTAAGGACAAAAATATTTTTAATTGCCAAGGATATAAGTTAAATACAGAAAAATTATATCATATAGGTTGAAATTTTTTTTAAAGATTTTTTATTTATTTGAGAGAGAGACAGAGATTGAGAGAGAGAGAACACAAGTGGGGTGAGAGGGGCAGAGGGAGAAGCAGACTCCCAGCTGTGCAGGGAGTAAGTGGGTTCCTTTCATTTAGGGTTAGGATGAATATTCAGAAAGGAGAGATTTGCCATTGCATTTAAAGGCAGGCATAAGGTTGCACAGGCGTACTGAGAAAACATGCCTATACATGCATTGTACATTATGTTAATGAAGCTTGTGCTCCTCCTTGAGCAGAGACTTTAACATTATACTGAGGCAGAGGTAACTATTGGACAAGTGGAAGGGGCTATGGGAATCCGCTAAGAGCTAGTATAATTTGATGGGACCTTGGGCTCATTATCTCTCCTAGGCCTTGCTTGACTGAAGGGCCTTGCCTGTTCATATGCTGGAACCATATCAGTTGACCTTGAGTCTAGCCTTCTGTAGAGACTATTAGTGGATTTGTTAGTGGGGTCTGAAAAGACACAATAGCTGATTAGGGTGAAATGGTTCTCTGAAAAACAAGCTTTAAACTTTCTGCTAGTTTCAATTTCATTAACCCTATGGGGCACAGTTTCAACCTCATCAATAGGATTTGCCACAAGTGCCAAGCAAAAACTCAGACAAAGAGGGAAAACCGGGGATGACACTAGTAGAGGAGAAATTAATAAGAAAGGGTCTTTTTTTTTTTTTTTAAGATTCCGTTTATTTATTTGACAAAGAGAGAGACAGAGAGGGAACAAAAGCAGGGGGGAGTGGGAGAGGGAGAAGCAGGCTTCCCGCTGAGCAGGGAGCCAGATGCGGGACTCCATCCAAGGACCCTGGGATCATGACCTGAGCCGAAGGCAGATGCTTAATCATCTGAGCCACCCAGGTGCCCAAGGAGGAACTACTTAAAAAAAAAAAAAAGGTGGCCAACGAAATGCTCTTAGTAAAAGGAAAGCCACAGGGATGAGGGTCTATAAAAAGCTTATGGTTTTGATGTTCTGGAGTCATGAGATATTAAGGGAGTACATTTTGTTAAACAACGGAAGTCAGATCGCAAGAAGTGAAAAGGTAAATTGGAGGAAAGTTGACTATCTTTGAATACTGTTGATGGCATGATTTAATGCAGAAGAAAGTGGGCTAACTTTTTTGGCATGTGCTTTCTGTCAGTGTACATTGAACCAATTTAGAGCTTACAATTTTAGGTATAATATAACAACCATAGATATCATTTGGTTTTATCCTACAAGACACTGAGTGTTAGATTTCCACAGCTGAATGCATCCTGACGTTAGAATTGCACTTTCCTCCTGGTTTCCTGGAGAGATGTCATTACAGATTTGCCATTAATCTTTGGTGCATTTGTGCAAATGTCCATACTTCAGCAGTTAGGCCTTTGGGCTGTATGGTGGGGATGGGGCTTTTTCTGTGATGTCAGCCACCAAGCCTGTGCTCCGTTTCATCCTCATAAGTTTGTGGTACAGAGTTCTGAGGCTATGACTGTAGTCTGCATTC